CATTCGCTACGAAGTAGACGTACCATTCCCTTTTCCCTCACGAACAGCCCCGAGATTGGGGTGCTGTTCGTGAGGGAAAAATCAGTTTTGATACCTTTCAGATCAGCAAAATTTTCCTCCTTGATAATCATCACTTTCGTTCCTATTTTAGTGGTTTGATTGGGGAGTTGACGCAATTATCGCTCTCAGACCAAATGATCCCATGTAGCACTTTGAACTACAAACTGTAGTGAAAACATTTGGAATTTCGAGATGGAAAAAATCCGGTAAAATTTTTACATGTATTATTCAGATCGAGCTTTTTGGATGTCAGAAGTCATCATGTGCTGATGTAAACGAATGTATGAAAGACAACGGCCACTGTGATCAAATTTGTGTCAACAAGCAAGGCTCATACAAGGTAAGCTGTTAAGTAGTTCGGGACTTTTCTTTTAAGTTTCACTGCACGATATTGTTTTTCTTTTATTTCACAGTTTAAACTTGCTTATTCCATTTGAGAGAGCATCTTAACGTACGTTTTACTCCTGAAGGTTAAGAACTTAAGAAAAGCATTTTTTCTTCAATTTGTCACTGCTTCCGAATTGTTTTAACTTTTTTTGAGATGTTGCCCGTTTATTGGCTCTTGTTGATGTGTCATGGCTTACGCTCTTGTTGATGTGTCATGAAAAGTGTTCAAGTCACAATTTTCAGTGTGCCTGTCGCGAAGGATACGATCTGTTCACAGTAAATGGACAAGGTGGAGTGGAGTTAAAAGAAGGCGAAGACAGGCGAGCATCCACTGGATGTCATAAAGTTGGTAATTGTGGTATTCCAAGTATCTGTTCTAACTTCTGCAATTTTGACATTCATATATGTATCTTTTGGCTTTGGTCTGAGTTATGGGTCTCTTCTGCTGTACCTGGGTAGGTAGTATTACAAGAAGCGGTGAAAAGATGACGTAAACTTTCTTTGATTACGGGCGGATATCACCAAATACACTGGATTGAAACAGGGCAGAGTAGAGTAATATTCAAGTTGTCCTCGTGGCTCTGTGAAGTAACCAATGGACAGTTTACTAGGACACTAACCGTAGCTGGTCTATGTTGCCAACAGACAAGATTTGAGGCTATATTTTCAACCAAATGCTTACAAGAGTATCAGTCCAGTTGCAATAATGACTTGAAGATTATGTTTTGTGCTTCATTAATTGACTTGGAAATTTTGTTGTAGGTTCAACAAGACGTGCATACCCCGCACATGCCCGCAGATTCGTTCCCCGGACAATGGCAAGCTGCTGAGCACATTGGAGAAGTTCAGCTACCCTATGGTGGTCCAGTTCCAGTGCGAATTTGGTTACCAGGTATCATATGACTGTTCTTTTATGCCACACTTTTCTTTTTCCTTTTTTTTGCAAATAATTATTGGACTTGTATTCAGATGATGGGACCAGACTTCCTACAGTGTCTTTCGGACGGTTCTTGGAATGGCACGACACCGTTTTGTCTTCGTTAGTTTTTTTCTGCCTCTTTCCTTGTGGTTCTTCTTTCCTATTCTCAAAACTTGTAAATCTGTAAATACGAGAGGTGTTAACGTTGGTGAGGATGGGTGAGGATGCGGTATATCATCTCGAAATTCGTTTGGTTCTTATTGAAGAAGTAGTTTTTTGAAACAGGAATTAATACCCATTAATGAATAGCAACTTTTGTTATCAGGGTTTGGTTAATAAGTCCTCAATAGGTTTTCTTTTGAGAGCAGTGCTGTCAAAAAAAATTCCAGAGAATTCGGGTTAAGTTTTTGTGTTGTATATTTACATTTGATATGCGCTGAAACGGACCCATCTTGATTATTGTGTTTATATAAAATACGCGGCGCAACTTTTAGTAAGCGAGTTTTAGTTTTGAGAAACATAATCATTTATGAACAAACTGATGTAGAAATGTGAACGACTTGATGATCCAAAACCAATGCTTAAACTCATGAACGTCTAATTTCAGCAGCCACCTGTCAAGGACTGAAAAATAACTCCGCTGTTGGATTATTTGTTTCACCTGAGAACAACACTATTGCCTATGGTCAAAATGTTTCAATAGTATGCACACAACAGAATAGACCTGGTTGGTGTCGATTTGCTTTCAGTGCTGGAAGTGCTCTGATCGTTAAAGTATTTTGAAACTGTACTAACAGTCATTTCAGCACGAAGTTCGCCTTTGGCAGCATTCCGTGAGTGTGTTTTCGATCCTCAACCGGACGGTCGGGAGTATTGGCTCTCTGGCCCGCCAGCCGATTGCCCATTTGTCGACTGTGGACCACCTCCAGTATTAGCCGGTGCGGTCTACGAAGGTGACCATAGCAGCTATAAGGTTAGTATCTGATAGAGTAAACAATTGGGTTTAGCTTTAGTTGGATGGTGTCTCTAGCATTCTCTTTTGGGTAATCCTTAAACGAAATGGTTTTCTCCGTGAAAGAATTCCGGCTTCTGACATTCCTGTAACACCGTACAGCCCCTACTCTTGAAAACTGACACAAACATTTTCTGTCATTGTTCAAGGTCGGGTCAACGCTTACGTTCACTTGTCGTCCTCCATACTCATTGGTGGGAAAATCGTCGGCTGGTGACAAGAGCGTCCGATGTGGCGTTGACGCCTCATGGGATCTCGGTGACTTGCGTTGTGAAGGTTTGTTTTTGATGAAACATTTGAGATTGAAAAGTTTCTTGTTCATTGAAGGCTGATGAAAATTCGCCCTAAAGCCACCGTATCCCTAATTTTCTACTCTATATTGTGCGACTTTTCAGGGCCTGTCTGTGTAGATCCTGGCTTCCCCGATGACGGCTCCATTGAACTCAACAGTGTGGAAGAAGGAGCAGTAGCCAAGTACTCTTGCAATAGAAAAGGTGCGTACAAAAAGTCCATTAGATGCTGTTTAGATCTGAATCCCCAAATTATCATTCAATAAATTTAGGATACCGTCCATTCCCGTCCCGGTTTTCCTTCGGATGGAGCCTTAGCTGATACATTCGGGACAGCACATAAATTGGCTATGACCTCATAAGGTGAGTAGAAGCTTATAGAAATTACTACAGCCTCTGTGTTTCGCGTGGCCCTGGTGATTAAGGTTTGGAGGTGGTACTTGCAATCCTTCCATAAAGTGTATCAAGAAATGCGCTGGTGGGGATTAGGATACGAATTATTGTTTCCTTTAAACGTTGACGTTGAGCTTGCGCATTTTTTGACCGAATTCGCACTGCAACAAGCATCTCGCCTGTTTATTTCTCAAGAAGAATACAGGCAGTTCTTTGAGTACTGTTCTAGTAGAAAATTTGTTAAAGCAAGGTTGTCACACTGTGTATTCAGATGTTACACTTTCAGGCACGTCTTTCATCAACCGGATGGTGTGGTTCCAAAGACGCTTTCATTTTCCTGAGTGTGGACCTCCAGAGGTACTCCTTAAGTATTTTTTTCACTGAGATCGTCCAGATTAATAGATCTCAGGATTTTTCTGGGATGCAGTTATCAGTTTTTGCCTTCTTTTCCCTTTCACCGTTCCACTATCTGTCTGCTACTCTCTATTTCTGCTCGTGTGTCTGTATGTCTTCTGCCTTCTTACCTGTAAGACTGACTTTCTGCCTGTACACCTGTCATTCTTTGTCTCTCTATTTATCACCTGCACTCACCACTGCCACTTCACTCTTGCATCGATGTTATTTTGCTATTTCACTTGCTTAAACATGATTTGAAGCAATAGGATGTCCACTTTATTGCTATTCTAACAATAGTGTATTATCTTTGTTCAGGATCTATACCTTGACAACGCTACGCATGGCTGGTGTTGCTGGTAGCGGCTATCTCAGAGGACATGTGACGAAAATGCAATTGTTCTACAAGACACAGTTCAGCCAGAATTATGACACTTATCCAGTTGTAAGTCTCCTGGATTGATAACAATTTATTCCGGAATGCATCATATCTTTACCCTTACTGCTTGTGAGGACTTGTCCCGGAGGAGTAGAGAATGGCTTGCATTATTAAAATTAGAATCGTTTGCTTACCGAGAACTTCAGGAATTCGAAACACCTTCCGGCAACCACAATGCAATGCATCAATTTGAACTTTCACCACCGCTCCGTGCTCGTTACATACTGCTCGGAGTAGCGGAGTACGAAGGAAGCCCATGCATTCGTTTCGACTTGCTTGGATGTTTGGCTCCAATGACTCTTTCTCATGAGGTACCAGCGCATTTACAGGTATGTTTTGTTCAAATCTGAACAGAATTAGATTTATTTGGGTACCGTCTATTGGGTGAATATGTCCACCATTCTTTTTTTTTCATCAGATATAGGTACCAGTTTTTTCCTGTTCAAAAGAGAACTTCACAAGAACTTCACAACGGTTTCCGAACTGAAGAATGATAGCTATTAATTTTCCTAATTACAGAGCGCTGATTTTTTAGGTTGGGTGGAATGGCTCTGTGCCGCAATGCATGGACGCTGAACCGCCGTCGTTCCAAAATTGTCCTCTGAATCCGATATTTGCGGAGACAGATGAAAATGGACAGATCAGACCAATTCGTTATGAGGAGCCGAAGGCTGTGGACAACAGTGGGAGGGTGAGCAATAGGATCTCTTTGGTTGACAATAATGCGATCTCGCGATTAGTGTGGCAGCCTGCTTCAAATATGTGTCAGACTGTCACAACTC